AGTTCTCAGCGCCTACGCTGTTCAATGTCCTTATGCATGCAGAGTTTGGTGACAGATATTCCACTTGGGGATGGGGAATCTATTATATGTTATGCTGATGACATATGTGTCAGAGCATCATCATATGAAAGAATGCAAAGAATTCTCGACGAACTCACAACAAGGGATTAGTCATCTCTGCTGAAAAAACAATGGCTCTCAACCCGGGTATTATATCCCCACCCACTTTTCACATAGGGAACCAGGAGCTTCACATGTGTTATTAGTCTAAATATCTCGGGGATGTGAACGGTAAATTGATGCCAGACATCACTTCTCTGAGAAGAGACTCTGGGAGAGATTGAAACGCTGAAAGTCCTTGTCGGAAAGGACATGGCATCGATTTAAGCTCGCTAGATTGTTTTACTTGGCCTTTATAAGGTCAGTTGTAGACTACCATGCACTGCACTTATTGCAGTATAAGGACTCGGATATAAATAGTTTGGAGATAGTACAAAACGAAGCTATGAGGATTATCCTCGGCGCCCCGAGAACAGCAAGGATAGTGAACATGAGATCAGAACTAAACTTACCATCCATTTTTGATAGAATCATACATATTTGCATTCTGGGGTCAAAGCCCTGAGGGAACCCTTGTATCTCACATATTTCCAAAAACAGCTGCAACATAAAATCACGCAAGCAGACGAGGCTAATCAGACACACGAGCGTTCTCTGCTACACAAAATCTGCATGAACATTACCAAGCTTAACGTCCCCATAAGTAAGATACCAAAAGGTCGATCCATTCCCCCATGGAAAAACTCATCACTGATTGTGCTCATTACATGTTTACAGCAAAAAAAACAGTGTAACTAACTGCGTGTTGAAACAAATTGCTTTGGCGACGGTAAAGGAACACGTAGAATCTATGGGCGATGTGTACAAGTGTTACGCTGACGGATCCGTACAGTCTGGATACAAAGCTGGTTGTGCTTGCGCTCTATACAAAAATGGTTTATTGCAACATCAAGTTCATATAAGAGTACAAAATTGGGCCACCACCACTCAAACGGAGTTGGCAGGTATACTCCTTGCAACAGAATACTTTAAGTCTCGGGGCTCTGGAGTAGTTTTTTGTGATTCCCAGAGCGCTCTTTGGACACTAAATTCCTTCAAAACAGATGGTGATGAGGGAATTGTGAACTGCATTAAGCGTAACGTAACTTATGCAAGAGAGCGAAATTTTAACATTCAATTTGTATGGATACCATCTCATGTTGGTATACTCAAGGACGACCATGTAGACAAATTGGCGAAAGAGGCTTGTAGCAAAGATATATAGATCTTGGGATGCCTCGTACTAGGGTTACACACATATTAAAAAGTTCTCATAATGAAGAACTGATAGATCTGACGAGTTCACAAAGGCCTGAAAGCTGTAGTATAAGGCACTACGATCAGTATAGAGATTGTAAGCCATCCTATGGGAGGCGCCGAAGTAAAACCAGACAATGTGACGGGGTTATTGCTAGAATACGTTTAGGTTATAGAATGTACTGGCAACTGCAAGGTGCAAGAAGTGCAGATGAATCTAGATGTAGACTGTGTAATGAGGAAAATAAGCGAACGCTTGTGCATTATATCTCGGAGTGTCATGTGATACAGCCTTTCAGACCGACTAACATGAGGTATAAAGAACTATGTGTTTATTTTATAGAATCTGATTCACTGGAAGATATACTCATGCTATATCCTAAATTTACTATGTAAAACTATCATAATCATAAAACTCACCACAGATCACTTTTATGTAAACACAAAGGCAAAGGTAGATCAAAGGTAATATATGTTTGCAAGCAGAATGACATATTCCCATTTTACCATGTATAGTTACTGCAATCACAGAATACTGTACTCTGTCGAATGTATGTGAATATATGTAACACTCTGTAATCACGATTGCCCACGCCTGAGCAGTTAGCCAGGTGGTAAATAAACTTACTTAACTTAAGACTCCCGTGAAAAGACGAAATACTATTACAGGGCGATGGAAAAGTATGCATTTAAAGTATATAAGCACATGCAGATCATTTTCGTGTACCCCATGACCTTTTGTTTATTTATATTGTTACTTCCGTTTGTTTCTTTATTGATTTTTATTTTTTGTTTGTTTGTGTTTTCTGATATTTCTAAAAGTTATGAACACAATTTATTGAGATTTTAACCAAAGGTGTATTTTAACTCAACTTAGACGCTTATTGCACTTTGGTTGTGATGCGGCCCATGGTTTGGATCCAGGATTTTTTTTTTTTCTACTCGAAAAGATATGAACAGATTTTAATAACAGTTTCACCTGAGGTTTGTCTTAGCCTAATTAATATTCCATAAAATTTTGGTGTTGATCTGTATCATTTGGCAATTCTACCCCCCATTTGGTGGATTTTTTTAGATTTTTTAAATTATTCTGAAAAAAATGAAGGTTGGTCTCAGCTTACATGAAATTTAATAAGCTTTCAAAAAATAATCTCATTTTTTTATGATCTCTAATCATTGCATCACAATTGCCGATTTTCTAAGGTAATGTGAAAAAAAATATTTGTCGGTCTACATTGAAACTGACTGTTGCCACCTTAAGAATAACGGTCGGGCAAAAAAAGACTACAGGGTCCCCTAAATAACGACACCGCTCTCACTCATTTCCAGATACTCCCCATATATATATGTATATATATATTATATATATATATATATATATATATATATATATAATATATATATATATATATATATATTATATATATATATATATATATATATATATATATATATATATATATATATATATATATATATATATATATATATATATATATATATATATATATATATATATATATAATATATATATATA